AGGGATAAAAAGGGGAGGTAGAAGAAGAGAGGGAAGAAGGAAAGGAAAAGAAGTTACAAAGGTCCGGAGCAAGATATAAAGAAACAGGACCTATTTGGAGATAATGGGTGAAAATCTAACTGAAAAAGTAAAGGTACATAAGATTGTAGTGTTATATTTGTAATAGAAATAACTTTAGAAAATTGGAAACATGATTATCCAGCTGCAAAGAGTCACACTAGCTCCAATAAAAAGGTAGGATTTAAATATAAAAAAATAAGTAAAACTTCCTGCAGGCTGGAATTGGGAGTAATAGAGGCAAGATAGATATCGACATGAGGGAGCAACAAATTTTATCTTGGTATAGTTTGCTGCCAGCTCATCAATGGGAGGAAAGCACTTCAAAAGAGAAAGCACTATATTATTATTTTCTCTGCAGCCCAGAAGGGAAACAACAGACTTGAGTCATAAGCTATACCAGCTTTAAGAAATTTTCTTCGTTATTCCATCATCCAGGGCTGGACTCAAGGTGTCCAAAACCTGTTATGTTTTGCCACTCTCCACCTTGAGCAGGAGGTGGTTAGCTCCTATTTCTACCATGGTGCCCCAACTGGCTGATGTTTTCCTGCTCTGTAGTGTTATACAGTGCTTAAAAGAGAGTGTAACTAAGTCAGCCAGTAAAACCAATCACCCAGATATTACAACTGGTGTACTCACCATTTAGCAGTGACTCTGAAGAAATGATGTAGGAAAAGGATAGAAACTGATCATAAGAACAGCATTCATGTTGCCATTATTTTATTCTTATTAAATATATTGTGATGATTCATAGACAGATGGCCTGCAATTCAGCAGTGGAGAAAGACTACGTTGTCAATTGCTCCATTGGAATGACAGTAGTATTTTTGGATGCATTCCCAAACCTTGAGCTCCTAGAAGAAAGATGAGAGATTATTTGCACATAAATAAAAGGTGACAAAGCATTAACATTTTGAAAATGTTGAAGCTATAAGATGGCATTGGCTGAAAGATTAAAAAAATACCACTGTTATTCCAATATTGCCAGTTCAAAGACTTTCAACATTCCTGAATTAAAGTGCTACCCATTCATTGTGTGGGGGGGAGGGGCGGGGGAGCATGAAATTTGCTATCTACCTGTCAATCTCTATTCTGCTTCTACAGCATCTTGTTGCAACTCACTACTGGAAGGTTCTATCCCAATGTTGTACATGTGCACGGCATACGATAAGCACAGCTACAGTTTGGTTGATTCTTTTGCTTTCCTCTGTTCTATATGTAGCCAGCCATCCAGGAAATCTGCCAATCATAGCACTGCAGCAAGATGTTCTCTCAGGACCTGGGCTCTCTCCTGTGTCCATCCTCATATGCCCATCCTGTCGTGATATAAGCTGGTTAAAAAAAGAAGAGTGGACTTGTGAAAAGAAATCAATCCCAAGCACCACTTTTAAGATTCTCCTCTCCTTCATTTCCTTTCTTTACAATGACAACAAATGCCAGATTCTGAATTTCTCTGTGTTTTATCCTTCAGAGGCAAAGGGGCAGGGTAGGCTGTCCCATCACTGCACTCCTTTGTTCCTTTAGGCCTGCACAAAAACAGGAAGGGCCACAGGGTTAAAATACTTAGTTCTATGTGCTAAGCGCTCTGGCATTATCACACAACTCTGACAGGTTGTCAGCACTGGATTTAGCTTTTTTGGAGTCAACTACAGGTACTGGTAACTACAGGTACAGGTACTCCTTGACTTAAAAGAGTTCGTTTAGTGACCATTCAAAGCTACCACAGCACTGAAAAAAGAGACCTCTGTCTGGTTTTCACAGTTATGACCTTTGCACCATCCCCATGATCATGTGATAAAAATTCAAGTGCTTGGCAACTGACTCATATTTATGATGGTTGCAGTGTCCCAAGGTCATGTGATCACCTTTTGCGACCTTCTGACAAGCAAAGTCAATGGGGAAGCCAGATTCATTTAACAACCAGGTTACTAACTTACAAACTGCAGTGATTCACTTAACAACTGTGGCAAGAAAGGTCGTAAAATGGGGCAAAACTCACTTAACAAACATCTCACTTAAAAGAAACTTGAGGCTCAATTGTGGCCATAAGTCGAGGACTACCTGTAGATGAGGGCAATCAGGGAAAAGAAGCACTCCAACATTAGTCTGAAACAGCCACTATCGGTTGTTTTGATCCCATCCACTACTCATTACCTGACTTAATTTCCAAAATGGTGACGTATAAAAGATTTTAGACAAATTATGGCTACTGTTACGCCGAGAGCTTGAGGGGAAAGCCATTACTTTAACATCAGTTACAGCTAGACAACTTAAAACCATTTCACTTCAGATCAAAGCAACATCAGGAGACAGGAAAGGAAAAATGTGTTGTCAGAACATGTTTGTACACAGTTAGACAAGCATGAGGAATACCCTTTATCAGTAGTGGGCAAAGGCCCAGAAAGAGAGCTGAATTGAAAGAGAGTTTGGAAATAGCCACAAGCCATCCTATGTATTAAAAGGGTATGGCAACAAAGTTAGAAATCACTTTGACGATAGCGGATGTATCAGTTGAATCAAGATACCATTTGTCAGTAATTTAGCAGAGGCAGTGACCAAAGGGCAGGAACTCAGAATGGGAGACCCAATTTCATGCTAGCATTATTTGATACCCACTCAGTAGCATTTTAAATTCAGGAGCAATTGCAAGGTCTTTTGATTGTGTTTTCAGTTAACAAGGTGAAAGCACCAAGTTGTAAATGAATCCAAATCTAAGCATACTTAGCAGAGTAAACTAGCGATGGGCATTTATAATGAACTTCACCTTCATTTTTGTGACTCTCTTCTCCGGTTAAACCTGTAAATCTTCCATCTTTTCTCAAAATATTTTTTTTTTCAATTCAGTCATGCATACTGGGGACGTGACTGGGGAACTATATTAGAATATGGTGGCATGTTAATCTCTTGAACATAGGCCTTTTTCAGTGATGGCAGCCCAGTTTTTTTTTTTAATATCCCCTCTCCCTATATGCAAAAAAACACATCTTTACTAGCATTCAGAAGTGTCTTAACAATTCTATTCCAGGCTTGCTTTTAATTAAACATTGCACTCGGCAGCCTTTGTCTATTGTTTTAAACTGCTACTGTTCTGAGTGCTGGCTTGTGGCATACAACCATTATTTTCGGCTTTTAATGGTTTTTGCAAAGGCAGGTCACTATGGGAAGGAATCACGTGGGATCCATGATAAATAAAAAGCCAAAGTGCACAAAATAATCTTCCCCCGAATTATCCTCCCCTCTTCTCTCTCTCTCCACAACGCAGGGCCTGGAAAAAAAAATCTTAACAAAGAAACTTTGTGATGCTTTGTACAGGAGGCGGCTTGAAAGGAAGCGTGGTTTCTATGCCTGGCGCTGGATGAGGCGGAGGCGGGGGAGTTGAAGGGACCTCCATGGCTCTGCCGCGCAGCGTCACGTCTTCCTCCCAGAGCACCGCTTGCTGCTGGAGGTGTGAGTGGATTCTCTCAACTGCATTTTGACAGCTGGGAGCAGGAGAGAACCACGGCGGCGGCGGCGGCAGCAGCAGCTGAAGACATTCTTCCATGCTCTGCGCCGCCCCTCCTCCTCCGGCAAGTCAGCTCGGCCCGGCCCTATCCTAGAGCGCCGGGACCGAGCCGCCTGCTCTTTTTCCTCCTCCTCCTCGGCTCGCAGCTTAACTCGCACTAGCCAGACAGGCCCGGGGAGTCCGCGTCGCCTTTTCCTCGCAGTACAGCGCTGGAGGCAAGAAGTTGGTGGCGTGTCTGATGAAATTTCCCAAGTCGGTTGCCGCAGCTTCAATGCAGGAAGGCGGGAGAGGGTTAAAAACTAGGCGCGCTCCCGCAGCCCATCAACGCCAACGCTGCCGCCGCCACCTGCTTTTCCCGCCTTGTTCTCTAAGCAAGCGGGGAGGTGGCCGCTTGACTTGAATCGACGGTATCGATAGTTTGCACTTAGCGGACGCCGGATGATGACTCAGCCCGGAAGGTTTGCGAGGTGGGACCCACTTCACCGGCCTTAGAAGTGGTTTCAATTGCTTCAGGTTCCAAGCGGACCAGGGTGGGGGGAGGAGGGCAGGACTTTTTTTTTTTTTAAAGCAAATCCGTGAGTATAAAACAGATGATGCAACGACTGCGGTGAAGTTACAGAAGAAAAGGTTTCTTTCATCTGTTCCCGCCCCCCCTCCCCTCCCCAATAATAATCCGCAGGCCTGCAAATTGAAATCCTCGTGACCGGGAGCGCGATAAGATCGGGGATGGAGATGGTTCAATATGGAGCAAACCCAACTCTTTTTTTTCCCCTCTCATTGGAACATTGTCCATCTTTATTTTTCCATTCAGTAAAGAGGCACAAACCCTCCCACCCCGTTTCAGGGAAGGGAACAGGAGTTCTAAGGCAGTTGGCTCGTGTTGCCAACTAAGTTGTAAAGAAAATGAATCCAGATCATCCCAAGGCTGCTCGTACCATCAACCTGGGCGTGCATGAGTATCGTGCGCGCGTTTCCCGATTTAGAGTCCTGGTCGGATCCAGAAACTCAAATGGATCTCAGCCGTCTTTCCCTTTCTCTTTTCAGAGCAACCCGAGCAAGGTTGCAAATGCTTTTTAGGGTTCTCTCACCACCATAATGCTGTCTCGTTCGAAATTGGATCTTCGCAACCTACCCACCAGGTCTCGCCTTTTGCTATTCGTACTAATTCAGTGTGCTGTTTCACAAGACAAGAGAATCTTCCATTTACCTAAAGAAATTCCTATGAACTAGTGGCCTTTGTCTACCTTGGCAAAAAAAAAAAAAAAATCTGCTAGCATCACCGGTGGGTATGGTCTCCTGCTTACGTAAAGAGAGGGGTACACTAAATTAATGGAGGAGGGGATTTTAATCGCTCCAAATCCGGTTCTCTTCCACTGCAATAGCGTGGCTTTTCCCGCCGATCTTGCATACGATGCAAAGCCCTTGGCTTTGTGGCGATCTCTTTAACGCGACCGCCGCCGCTTGCTTTTGCAACCTGCAGTTCGATGCAGCAACTTCGCATCCCGAGATATAATCTCTGCTCCCTGGAGTGCGTAGTAATACTTTGGGGGAGGCCACGCCCCCGAGCGTGGTGTCAGAGTGAAATAGAGGCTCCGGTTGGTCGGGTTGGCGGACAACATCTGCTGGACTCCTTCATTCAAGTGACACCCGAGCTTTGAGACGTATTTGAGGAACCATCCGTTGCCCCTCCGGGCCACTTTCAGTACTTCTATCAGCGGCGCTCGCTTCGCAGAGCTTCTCTGCGTAGTTGGGACGGTAGGAGATTCTGGGTCTTTCGCAAAAGAAGCCGAGAGAGAAAGGCGGGCGGGGGGCTTGGCGGCCTCCAGTCGGCGTGGTTTGGGTACGCACAAGGACCATGTGTGCAGAGTGCTTACGGAAATTGGTGACCCTGGCGCTGGTCTTTGCGAGTGTGGATGCGGTGGTGGGCACCGAAGCCACGCATCCTCCGGAAGGTGCCCAGGACAGAGCTCCTCAGCAAAAAGGGCGGATGTCTCTGCAAAATTCAGGTACGCGGTTATTTCTTGAGGAGCAAAAAGCATCCGGGCATGGTTCGGTTTCTGAGGGGGAGGAAGCTGCGGGTTAAGGCCAGAACCAGGCGTGCGGGGATTTATATATATATATGTATGTATATGTATATATATGTGTGTGTTTGTGTATATATATGTGTGTGTGTATATGTATGTATATGTATGTATATGTATATATATATATATATATATATATATGTATGTATGTATGTATGTATGTACGTACGTATTCGACTTCGGTGCAGCGTGTTCCAGAGATTGGAGTTGCGTCGCTAGGTGATAAGCATCGTTCATATAGGCGCTGGGAGTGACAAGCAGAAGTCAGCGAAGGAAATAGAAGTGCTTCTAGCAGCTTGGAAGCTCTGGCTAGCCAGCCAAGCACGTGTTCCACCATTTGAACTACTGTAATAGAGGCAACCCTTCCATCTTCTAGCTAGGCAAAGAAAGTCGTCCCACAGGGAATGCAATATCGTAGTGAAGCCTGTGAACCTTCCATCGGAAGGAGGGTGCTCCCCCCTCCCCCCACTCTTTCTCTGCTTTAAAATAAAAGAAAGGCAACTTGCAGAACTATGTTTGCTTTTTGCACGTCTTAAACTGCCCAGCTTCCATCCTTTAAATAAAAGGAAGGCAGGAGGAGGGGAGGAAACAAGGCATCGGCGCAGGTTTAATGCAGATGCGGGGAGACATTCAGATTGAACAAAAGTCCTGAAAATCCTTTTTCGGCAGCAAGCGAGGTCATCCAACTAGTAGTAGTTTCTCCCAGCCTTTCTGATTTTTTTAAATAACCTTACCAGGTCCTTTAAATGGAAAGACATTTGGGAGACCCCCTTCCCGGTTTATTCCTCACTTGTTCACAGTAGGGGCGCTGGCTGCCCAAGTCTTTCAGCTACTCACAGGTCAGGCAGGATATATAGACGCTCCTGATGTCAGAAGTAGACAACTGCGTTCACACGTGAATCACTCCTCCAGGCAGCGTTCAGCCCACGGAGGCCGGGGCATGTGAACGGAACTCCTGCATCGGACCCGGTGCCAGCGTAAAGCTAAAAACACCTAAATCCAAGCTACACACTTACACAACGCTGGACGAAGAAACTCTTAGCTAATATGCAGCTTCCCCTTTCTGTATAAAACGGCGCAGGCAGCCTCGTTGAAAAGAAGGCAATATCTCCTTTTGCTTTTTAAGGCTCTGGTCAGATCTCCCCCTTCCCACCCCTTAAAGGAGGAGTTAGCTGCATTATTTCTTTTGCAGTATTCTATTTCTATGCAAGTAATCCCAGAATTGGCTTGTACTTGGCCTTTTTAGACATTCCTGTTTCTTGTAATGTTAATCAGAAGGAAATCTCTGGAGTATTCCGTATCTTGAATATCCTTGGAGGAGATGGTTGTAGAATGTCTAATTTTTCTATTACTGTTGTCATTGATCAGGGTTTCACTTTGATATTTAACTAATTTAACACAATGTTGTAGGCTGGTTAGGGTTAGGGTTATTCATAGAATAGAAAAAAATATAACCCACTTTCAAGAGTAGTCAAGGAAACCAGAAAATTAGCAGTGGGGAGCTCTGACCTGAAAATTTATCTGAAACTTTGTGAATGGTTTCACTAATTTCAAGATGCACTTTAAAGGAAGTATTTGGGGACACTGGTTCAGATACGAAAACCTAATAAATAGTTGCATAACTTTATCAGATGCAGTCTTCTTTGAGCTAATTTTGAATTTTGGACCTTAATTCACAATGATCAAATCAACCCAATATTTTTAATTAGCTTACATGATGATGAAAAAGGTATTCTTGAATCTCATTCCATTTATCTATACAACAACCCTTTGAGGTAGATTAAAATGAGAGTTCACTCAGTGATTTTTGTGACTACCCAGTGATTTTTATGACCTGGGTGGGGACTTCAACTTGTCTCTCCAGTTCAGTGTAATAATTTAAAGTACTGCATCATATTGACTTGTGTCATTAAATTAGTTCAGATATGGATTTAACAGTGACTTTTTCTTTTGATCATATAGTTGTTTGCAAAGCAATAATCTCCTACATTACTATTCTGTTCCCCTTTTGAAATGAAGAAGTTGTTAACAAGTATTCTTTTGCCTACAGGTATATATAATAGTTGTAGACATTTACTGTGGTGACTGTTCATTTTCAGCTGAAATCCAGCACTGCCTGGTCAGTGCTGGTGATGTTGGCTGCAGTGTATTTGAATGCTTTGAAAACAACTCTTGTGAGATTCGAGGTTTGCATGAGATCTGCATGACATTTCTCCACAATGCTGGAAAATTTGATGCCCAGGTAAGCAAATGCAACAATTTGAGGCATAGATAACTAGACCCAGAATCAGCTAATCTGAAAGTATAAAATAGTATGGATTTTTATGAAAATTACTAGTTAAGGTTTTAATCAAACAGAGCAACCAGTCAGGTTTCAAACTTCTTTGAACAGAATATACTTACAATGTAGAATGTTAATTCTTTGTAAATATTCTCTTTTAATCCATCTGACCTTTATCACCTATTCAACCCTCTTTTAGTGACATGAGGTATACTGCAGCTCTCTTTCAAGCCCTTCCAGTTAAATCGTAATTCCACATATGGAGCCTTTAGATCTATAGATAAAATAAGAATGGATATTACAGAATTATACAGTTTTATTACTGTATGTGAAACATCAAATACACATCATCTCCTTAGCAAAGGCCTGATTGAGGGTAGGTTAATGTATATGGGAAATAATTTTCAGCCTATAAATAGTTGTGAAAAGACTACATAGGAGAAAGTCCCATTGCTAAAGAAAACTCTTATTTGGTTTGAAAAGTACTTTGCCTCCTGTGTTAAGGATGCATCACTGATCCAGTGCAAACAATAGGTTTGGATTATACTTTTTCCCACACAATATTGCTTATTTGAGGGGTCTTTGGTGCTCTCTGAGCTTGCACCTAGTTATGGTATTGAAATGTCTGCAAGAAAATAAGCTCAAAGAGCACCATGGACCCCTCATTTCAACCCTGAGCTACAAATATTCTCCTTTATTGATATTCCTTAATTATTTGATCTTACTATTATATGTCTCATGCAGCCTCTTTCTTAGGTAGTTTACAATTAGAAATATTAAAATAGTACAATAAATACAAACAATATGAAAACATATTACAAGGAGGGAAGGAATATAGAACTATTTATTTAAACATTCACACAGAGGAAGCCTGGATGAAGAGAAAAAAAAATCAGCACATGCCTAAACAATATAATAGATGCCCTTGTGAATTTAGGAGAAGAGCTATTGGTTTGGAAAGCTCATTGTTCCAGGTACAAATTAGTATGGCAGATCCAAGCCATAGTGACATTTTAAACAAATTAATTCTGGATGATAATACAATAATATAACAGTGGGTCATCCTTTAATGTCATCTTGCTCTTGCTGCTTTGAAGTGCCGGCATTTTCAATTTAGCTTAAAAGACCTGAGGTTGAAACGCTACTAAAGTGACTGGGCCCTCGGCGCTTCTTGGCACATTAAAATGGAAAGGGATTTATTCTGGATGCCTCAGTCCAAGGACACCAAGTGAGGAATTCTCTTTTGCTTGATCTTATCTCTGATTCCCTTTATATGATCAGTTGAATTCATTTCTGCAGATGAATACCGAGTCACAGTGTCATTGGAAATAACTGTCTCTGCTGCTTTATTCTAGTGATTCCTTGGCAGCCCACCAACATCTAAGTACATTCCTTAGCAAGAATCTGATATTAAGTTTGCCTCTTTCATTTTCTCTCCAAACTGTAGATTGTTGAAGCATCCTGTTATTTATTATGCCTGGTACAACAATTTTCCCATTTCTGGGGAAAAGATTGCATTGGTCAGATGTATTTGGCTTGACTGGCAATTTACAGAATCTGCATTGATAATTAAAAGTTTAAACTAGGGACTTAAAAACAGATTTTTATAGAAATCTTTTGTTTGCTTTTCCAAAAATATAACAATGAAAGTTTCCTTCCAAATTAATAGGTTTAAGTTTATAGCGCATTATCCCATAATATTTTTAAGTAAAGAAATCTAAGTAACAGTATGTTTATTCAAGTGTCATTTCAATATTTTTCATATTCTTGCTGACTGTTTCTATGACAAAATAATATCTTATACATTCCAAATAATGAAATTTCTTCCTTGGTTATTACAAAACCAAACTAACGGAATAAAATATTTTGTCAGTGATTACCAGAGAGTATATTTCCCTTCAAATGCACGGTAGTTTTATAAGGCAAAAACAATTTGAATCTAACCTGCTTAAGAAATGAAGGATCTACAGAAGAAGTTCCATTTTAACAGATAAAATTATATTGCCATAAAATTGGAGTAGGAAAAAGAAAGTTAGCTTCTACCCAGGGGTGGGCAAAATTTCAGCAATGGGTTCTCTGCCTGATTGCTGGGTGAGCATGGCCTAGTCAGCCTCCTTCATCATTTGTGGGGGGGATGTTTCGCCATACCCAGGCTCCGGAGGCTTTCCTCAAGCCTCTGGGAGTGCAAAAACAGACTCCCCTGTTTACAGTCTTCCGGAGCCTCCGCATGAGCCCTGCACTTACCTCGCATCCAAAGCAGGCTGCGTGGAGACTCCTGGGTGGGTGAGAGGGGCAGCCAGGGGTGGGATTTGGCAGTTCTCTTAACCGGCTATAACATTAGCTACTGGTTCTCCCAAACCCGGGCGAACCTGTAGCAGCCCACCCCTGCTTCTACGGGTATGTCTTATTGATTAGTGACTGACTGCTCATTAGCTAGGATGAGGGGAAAAATTTTAAAAGGAGGGATTGCAGGCCATGTCCTAGTCAGCAAAAAATAATCCAGTTATTCAAAACATAGTTTATCGCTGAAGTATGACTGACTTTCAGAATTGGCAGCAAAAGGAGATGGAGTTAAATTAGTACTTTGCTTAGTTGTTCCTTGCATCTGTGACAAGTGTAGTTAGAAGCAAATCAGACATTCTGTAATTTTTTAAGGCTTCCATCTTCTTCCTAATCTTTTGCAGAAGTTAAAAAAGAAATATTCCCATCAATCTACATTCATATCAGAATGCTCTTAGTTGGGCTTGGGGGAAGATCTTTTTTAGCATCAAAAAGTTTATCTGAATGGTCATGGGCAAAAGGAAAAAATGAGGAAGAGAGAAATAGACTAATGATTAGAAGAGAAAGAACCTCAGTCCTAGAATATATGCTTACTTGTCCACAAATCTTACTGAATTTAATGGACTTAGTCAATGCATAGGATAACTGTTTTTCATTGGGAAGCACCACTATATTCATTTGGGTTTATTTCCACACATGACTAGGATTGTGCCTCTGAAGAGAAAAGCCACATTGCATTACTTAACCTCCAGAGTGCGGAAGAAGATATTTAGGATGCAAATCCCCATTTTCTGAAAACTAAAAAATCATTTTAGTCTTCTTTTACCTCCTTCAACTTCCATGATTCCTCTAACAACTGAAATATACCTTAAAATCATCTTTCTAAGGGCTAAAATATGATACAGTATATCAAAGGTTTTCTATCATTATCTCTATAATGGATGGGCCCACATAATTATGTTAAGCCATGAACAAACATGACATTGTGCAGTGGGTGAATCCATCCATTATATACTGGCTACCTTTCAAGAGCATTACTGTGGTACTAGTTGTGCTACCAATTTAATATCGGAATCGGATTCTGGCCAATTACCATTATCAAGGTTTTTCCCCAGAGTGGAAAATAAATCCCTGTTCAGATCTTGATTTGGCCCCAACCAGGGTGGGATGGGGAGGCGTGAGCCTCACAGAGGTCGACTAATAGCAAGATTGCTTTGCACATTGGTAAATCAACTCACTGGGTTCCGCAGAACTGTGGAATCTTTTTAGCTCCAGGTTGTGATGAAGCTTTAAACTCAGAAAACTCAATTTTTCAACAGAGCCTCATTTCCCTCCATGATCATGATGAATGAAGTATTTTCCAGTTTGTCTGAGTACCTCTGAAAAGCTTATCCAAACAGTGAAAGTGAGCAAGCAGAGTCCTGAAGGGAACAAACAAGTGGCATGGACACATTAGATTTTTGTTCTCCTTGCAGTCTCTTTTCATCTTTGCATCATTTCTGAAAGTTGTGTGAAGTAGATTTGGGAGAGCCTCATTTGATCAGGAGTTCTCTCACACGGTATAAAATCAGGGTCTCTTCCTAGATACTCTTCAATAGCACGGGACTGGGATTGCAGTCTGCTTCCTGGAGCTTACTTGATAGTGACTGGCAGTATTGCATTAGTTGGATTTTCCACAGTAATAAGGACAGGGTCACTCAAATACATTGTGAAAAGTTGAAAGGGTTGCTTTCACCTGCTAGGCATGACAGGTGGCAAGCAGGGGACTAGGACAGTGTAACCGTTGGCAACAACAGCTACCCAAAGAATGTTAGTTACATGCTACTGCTTGATTTCAGACTATTGAAATAGTGAAGACGCTACACAATAGGATAATGAGTAATGTCAGCTTGGCAGGTCAGCTTCCAGAAGGATGCAACAGCACAACAATAATAGTAATGGCAGATCAGTATTTTTGTACCAAACTATCACAACATAGTCTCACGGTCTCATGGAGAGATTTTAGGCTGACTTCTGCTGGCATGAAAATGAGAACTCAATATTGCCATTAAGATAATGCATTGGTTTTGAATTGACTAGTCCTCACCAGGATATGTTACAATCATATCCAATGCCTATGTATAACTCTCCAAGTATCATTAATAAGAGGAACAATTCTGCTGTGTTTTACACCATTTTCTGAAATTCTTATATTGCTGGCTAGTTAGAATTTACAGGATGGAAGACATTAAAAGAGACAGTTTGGTCTAGTGGTTACAGCACCAGACTAAAAACCAAGACACTGTGAGTTCTAGTCCTGCCTTAACCATGAATGCTGACTTTTGGCCAGTCACATTGTTTCAGCCCAACTCACATCACAGATTTGTTGTTCTGGGAAAAATAAGAGGAATAAGGTGTGTTGAATGTGTTTCCTGCTTTATTTATACAAATAATAAAGACAGGGTATTAAAAATGAAATAAAATTTTATTTTTATGCCAAAAAACCCCAGAATTTTGGAATTGAAATTGCTCCCATTATTATTCCCAACACTAAGGGCCCTCCTCCTCCTGCCACAAGGAGCCCAAGTGGTAAATATGGTTTCCAGAATTTGCCTCACAAAAGGGTTGCTTTTGGGGAGCAGGGTTTTTTTTAATAGCCCTCTAACCTCTCTTTCCCCCTCTACTTTCAGAATTGCTTGGTTTAGGCATCAGCAAAGGAAGGCTAGATATTAATGAAGGTTAAATGTCTGGCAGATATTGAGCACCTGCTATAACCAAAGATGGAAATAATTATCTGATTGGGATTAGAGGAAAATATTTGTTATCTTAGAACAAGCCTATCAAACTGGCAGTCCAGGGGCCGGATGCATCACACATAGGCCACACCCACCCTGGCTGCGCAAAGGCAAAAAAATGTCACGATACATCACTTGAAGCAATTAAGTTTGATATCCGTGTCTTTTAAGAGTAAATAAGCAACTACTTTTCCAGGTGTTAATTGAAAAATGCAGATGGATCACAAGGTATATGCTAAATGGACATGAGTTCAGTTGTGCTTTTTCTTCTTTTTTCATCTCAGGGGAAATCCTTCATTAAAGACGCCCTGAGATGCAAGGCACATGCCTTGCGGCACAAGTTTAGTTGTATCAGTCGCAAATGTCCTGCTATCAAAGAAATGGTGTTCCAGCTACAGCGAGAATGCTATCAGAAGCACAATCTCTGCTCTGCAGCCAAAGAGAATGTCCAGGTCATTGTGGAGATGATTCATTTCAAAGACTTGCTACAACTTGAGTAAGTAAAGAGAGGGAGCATCTAATCTGCTAGTGTAAGTTCCAGACAGTTGCATGTCCCTTAATTTTATTCATCTGAACCAGAGGAAAATTTTAGTCTGCAACATTTAGCGATACAAATGAGCTATAGATAGCCTGTAGAGTTGCAGCCATGTCACAAAAGGTGAACTGAAATGCCCATGCCTAATTTTTTAGAATCCTTCTATATAAAATGTATTGCCCACTCTCTTCCTTTCCTTTTTTGAGTAAATAAATGATCGTTCTCAGATTTTTCCCTTTAATATACTCAGATACGATAGTGAGATCTGAGGTTTATTATAGCAATGGAATAAAATAAAATCATATTTTTCATATAAAATGGCTTCTCTTTTTTGTTGGTCATTTGCTATGAAAACCCTCTGCTCTGTAACTTATTGTTCAGATTCATGCATTAGGAAGAAGAAAAATAAGATTACCTCGTACACAGCAACAAGTTTGAATATAGATCTGCTCCTATTATAATGTGAGAATTGGCCATAGTGTAGAATTTCTGTGTAAGAGAGAAAAAAATAATCACATTATTATATGGAGAAGCAGTGGCATCCACCAGTGGAGTAGAAAAAAATAAGATGGCAGGCATAACTATACTATTTGTGTCCTATAGCAATAACAGTAATATTTAGATTTCTATACTGCTTCATAGTGCTTTACAGCTCTCTCTAAGCAGTTTACAGAACAGACCAGCATATGGTCCCCAACAATCTGGGTCCTGGTTTTATGGATCTCGGAAGGATGGAAGGCTTGAGTCAACCTTGATCCCTGTCAGGATCGAACTCTAGGTTATGGGTAGAATTTGCCTGCAATACCGTGTTTTAACCACTGTGCCAACAGAGCACAGTGTATACACAGTGTATACTCTTATACTCTTTTTATGTGCATGGAAAGCATATTAAAAAGAGGTGGAGCTTGCATTATGCTCACCATTTTGACATTTTCACTCCCATTGCTGTTTGTAAGTATTCTGTGGGTGCTTCTGATTGCTGCATCACATATTGCATAATTGGCTTACACATCATGAAGAAAAATGCCAGTCCTCACCAACACATAACCTCTCAGTATTTGCTGAAACTTAAAACATGTAGAATTCTATTGAAGCCAACTTTTTGTGAATGGCTGGCAGAAACCTTAACTTTTAATATCTAACCTGCCAAAATATAGGTACAAATACTCTACTTAACTCCTCCAATCTCTTATTCAGAAGCTTATTTTTTCTACTCCGAGAATGACAACAAACAGATACCTAAAACCTACAGTTATGAGCCCTTTAAATTAAAATTTTCAGTGAATTCTGTGTTAGACATTCATTTGGATCAGAATACCTTTAAAAATAATGTAGTTTTGACAGCAACTAAACCATTAAATCTGGAAACATTTTAATGGTTCTAAAATTAACATCAACAGTTGTTGAAGAAATAACTTCTCCCTGTACTCTTTCTTACTTCATTTACAATTCCATACTTAATTAATTGCTTTGCATTGCTTGGTGTTGGAGATAAGGTGGAATAAATTTCTGTTTCTTAAACAGATAGTAGAGATGCTCAGTATAGCCTTGAAGTGCAAGATGGGCAGCAAATACATTAAATAATAAAAAACTAGTAAAAATCATCTCACTGGCACTAGGAAACTAAATATTTGAATCACCGTGGGAGAAGAAGATCTTAGCTGCAACTGTGTTCATTCAGCTCCACATGCTACTCTTTCAGAATAGACTCTCCTTATCTTTTCTGGAAAATGCTTCCTTGTGGAACTTTTTTGCTCTTTGCAAATAGATTCGTGCTGCAGAAATGGAATAGAATTTCTGCTCTGGAGTAGGAGCAGAATTCCTTTTACTCATATATCTGTAAGCTAAGAGTTAGGGTTATAGAGCTGTATGGAAACAACAAAGGAACTTGGGAGTAAAGTTGTTTATCCTGAAAAAGCTTTTACCAGTAACTTGTGCATAATTGTAGCATATTACAGTTGTATAATTCTTGTCTTATATATAAAACAATGTCTTAGTACAAGGTCACAAATTATAAAATATTATCAACCATAAAATAGTTTGTGACATTTACGTAATATTTTCTGTCTGCATGTGGTATCTGGTCAAAGAGTAAAAATCAGGGCACATAATTACATCTTTTGAAGTATGGTTAAATTCAACGCTAAGTAGTTGATTCTAAGATGGAGATATGTCAGAAAACTATCTTAAAAGAGATACCATTTTCTCTGCGTTATTTCAGAAAATAATAATCTGCCTTGTTTATTTATGTTTATTAGATTATTCATATTTGTTACAGCCACCCAATTCCAATGGACTCTTGATGACATACAAAACCCCAAAAATCCATAAAAACAGATAGACCATCCAAACTAAAACCAACAAAAAGCAAACAGTAGAATCCTCAAAAATACAACACAGTAATAAATTAATCCTAGGCCTATTGATATTGCTTATATATTTATTGACAAGAATCTATTTATGAACACCTGATCTGCATTCAAATGTGTTATTTAGTTCAGAATTACAGCCATTTTTACAATCCTTTTTACTAGCTATTCTTTAGAATTTGTAATAATGCATTGCAGTTTACTTCAGTGATACGTAAATGGCATGTAGTGTTTTACTTATAGTCCTAGTGCAACAGTGGTCGGATTTAATTTTTTTTACTACCGGTTCTGTGGACGTGGTTTGGTGGGCGTGGCAGGGGAAAGATACTGTAAAATCTCTATTCCTTCCCCACCCCACCAACCTGCTTTCCAGCTCTGTTCTCCTGTGCAGGGCAACAAAAGAAGACCCAGCTGGGACTCAGGAGGCAGAGAATAGATGGGCTTGGCAGGGCCAGTCAGAGGTGGTATTTGCCAGTTCTCCGAGCTACTCGAAATTCCTGCTGTTGGTTTTCCAGAACTGGTCAGAACCTGCTGAATGACATCTCCGCAACAGACTCAAATGTGCCTGAACTTTTTAACACTTTGTTTGCAAGCAATGTATCATTCATTTGTGGATCATGTTGCATTAGGTACGTCCTGTAGAGAATATAACTCAGATCATATTTTAATGGCAGATAGGGTTGTGGGATTTGTTTCCTTTTCCTGAAAGAAGGAGTGGTGCTAGGGATAATAAAGGTTTTGCTTCACATTCAGGCCAGCACTGATACTGCATTGGAGTGGCAAGTCAAATAGCTCTTGCATGCTGGGTGAGATAATGTCTTAAGTAATTTTTGCCTCCTGGAGTAATTCTGCCATGGAGTGCCAAGACAAATGCCTCTTGCATGCTGAGTGAGACAAATACGCCCTTCAGATTTCTGTGGGCCCCTTCCATGAAATTGGCAACCAACTAAATTATAAACGACTGGTAGTTAAATGTGATCATTTAGTTCAGTGGTTTGCAGACAGTGTTCTGTGGCAAGATGGAGAAGCCGACAGATTGCACATCATCACTGAATTGGCCCAGGAGACAACGCCATGTGCTCTTCCCAACTCACTTAATTTGATGGTGAGATGCAACACCTAATCATGGCCCAACAAAACAAAGTACACACAAGAGAACGTGTCCCAAAATCCACAGCAGGCTTCCCTAGTAGGATTGTACTGTTCCTTCCCCCCCCCCAAAAAAAAGGTGGGGGGGGCGCTGTTGCAAGAATTATTCAAAGAAAGGAGATAGACATAGACCTAAATGGAGAAAAAAAATCTACTTATATGCTGTGTAAGGCTGGAATTTTACTCTCCTCTTCACATAATTAACCACAAAAAAGGGAGGGCATTTAAATTTCAGGCCAAATGTTCAACTTTCCAATACTTGGCTTTAGACAACAGTAATAAATAAATTATTTTTCCTTTAGCTTGACCTAAAGATGTAAAGATTCTGGAAAATTTGTAAAACAGTAGAAAAATATGGAGTTTTCTAAATTTTTTGTAGAAAGAAACAGAATTGGGAAACGAAGAGTTGAAATACCGCAATAATATTTTTAAATTATCCTTTATAACTCTAAATCAGTGGGTGCTGCTTCTGGCCAGTTCCAGGACGCTAGGGCCTAGTGGAGAGCCAGAACAATCGGTCAGAACTCAGTGAGAGCAAGCAAGTGCAGAAACGTTCTTCCTTTGTGACTATAAAAGTTAATGCACCCTGGAGTAAGAAATATATATTAGCAATTGTATTATATACTGTGTTCCTCATATAATAAGGCCGGGTCTTATATTTTTTTGAGCCCCCCAAAAATGGCTAGGCCGTCTTTTCTAGGGTGACTTAATTCCCCCCCCCCCCTTGCATCTTTGGGTAGGCGGGCAGCGATGGCTTGGATGTTGACCTCGGCGTTGGTGGGGCACTTCGTATCGGGGTCAACGCAGGCAGCACCATATCCGGGTGTGCAACAAAAGTACTTCCTAATGGCAAGCCCCCCCACACCATTCCCCCCCATTTCACATGTTTAATATAGGCCTTAATTTGGGGGGAGGGGCTTAATTTCATTTCATGCCTATAAAACATGCTGGGACTTCCTATTGGGGGAGGCCGTATTGTTGGAGAAACAGGATAGTTATCTGTGCACAGGAACTGTGAAGGTCTGTACGTTTTTTGCTTATATGGCATTTAAGAAATAATTTTATTTATGCCATTTAAAAAGAAAATACTGGGAAATATTCCATGATCGGGGTGGGGAGCTTAAGAAAAAAAAGTTTTTTTTCATTTACACATATACAGCTCATACTTCATGACAACTTAAAGAGGCTTGAATTGCCCATTTCTCCCCAGATTTTCCTGTCCCCTATAAACTGTATCTAGGCTACATCTGTGTTTGTAAGCAACAGCATAATTTGAAGTTTAGTGAGGATTAAGTCATTTGTAACAAGAACAAAAGAAAAAAACAAACATTCTTCACGATGCGAAAAGAAACTCCCTGCTTTTCCTTCTTCGCTTTGGCTTCCTGATAAAATCCTGACTCCATAGGGTTCATTGGGTACTGTCTTTAATGAGGCCATAATAGGTTTAAGCCCATATATATAGTTTAAGATTATATATTTATTTATATATATATATATATATATTTTCTGAGGTTCTCGTGGGTGTTTGTATGTGGATCTTCGGTTATTCGGGTTTTCTCCTGCGTAAGATTGGAAGTATCTAGACGTTTCGATGAAGTCTCATTCATCATTTTCAGGCTTGTGTCTTCTGCTCTGTGCTTCTCAGAGTAATGTGAGCTTGTAGCTGTTTCTTTTAACTGCTAGTGGGGGTGTGACTTGATTGGGTGGGGGCTTGGCTGCGTTCTAATTGGGTGGGGGTGTGTTCTGATTGGTTGGGGGGCTGGCCGTGTTCTGATTGGCTGGAGGTGTGGTCTGTTCAGGTGGGGGCTTGGTTCTGCTCAGGTTAGTCTTAGTTGCTGGGGGATCTGAGCTGTGATCCTGCTGTGGGTGTGGGTCCGGTGTCATTCTTCATGTTAGGTACTCGTCTGTTCGTGAGGGTGGGTTTCCAAATGGCTGGTAGGCGGGAGGTGTCATCTCAAGATGACACCAGACCCACACCCACGAGGACCACACAAGATGCTACCACCACACTTCCACGTAGAAAGCAGACTCACACCCACACAGAAGATGAGACACAACCACGGACCAGAAGCTGCACTGCAGCTGCATCACTACCTGCTTCAAACCCCTCCAAGCCATATATGAAGTGAACTGACACCCACTATGAAGATGCGGCACGACCACGAAGCCAAACAGCAGGATCGCAGCTCACCAGCTCAAATCCCCCAGCAACTAAGACTAACCTGAGCAGAACCAAGCCCCCACCTGAACAGACCACACCTCCAGCCAATCAGAACACGGCCAGCCCCCCAACCAATGAGAACACACCCCCACCCAATCAGAACACAGCCAAGTCACCCAATCAAGTCACACCCCCACCAGCAGTTAAAAGGAAGAAGCAGCTGCAAGCTCACATTACTCTGAGAAGCACAGAGCCGAAGACACAAGCCTGAAGATAATGAATGAGACTTCATTGAAACATTGCCTAGATACTTCCAATCTTACGCAGGAGAAAACCCGAATAACCGAAGATCCACATATATATATATATATAAAAATTACGTATTCAAAACAGGCCAACTGAGACTGACTTCTATACCACCAGTAGTTCTCAACTTACAACCATTCATTTAGTGATCAAAGTTAACACCGGCACTGAAAAAAGAGACTTAGAATTATTTTTCACACTTAACAACCATTGCAGCATCTTCACGGTCACATGATCAAAATTCATACATTTGGCAACTGGCATATATTTATGACAGTTGCAGGGTCATGTGTTCATATTTTGTGACCTGACAATGGGGAAGCTAAATTGACTTAATAACCTTGTTATTAATTTAGCAAGTAACTTCAGTGAATCCCTTAACAGCTGTGGCAAGAAAAGTAAAATGGGGCAAAACTCACTTCACAACTGTTTTGCTTAGCAACAGAAATCTTAGGTTCAATTGCTGTCCTTATTCAAGGACTACCTATAGTCTTTATATTTTTCTGCAGTGGTTGTTCATAGCATTATATAAAAGTATTTCAAATACTTTATTAGCCATGGTGCTCATACAGTATATTAAATATTCGAAGAGTAGTGGAAACTAATAACATAAATTACTAGCTGTTTATCGTATGTTTAACTACTATGTCTTAGATTAATGAAAAATGTGGTCTTACATTGAAGTATCATGCAATTATATGGCTGATGCTGTCATCCTATATTATGTGGACTTGGAAGATAATTAGCAAGATTTGTGGACCATAATTCTAGGAAGAGACTCAACATTGGAATGTATTCAGTTTCTGTCATTCATCTCAAAACCAGTAACTGAGCAAATTCCCCAGCACTGAAAAGTCTGAGATTTGTGAGCAAAAAAGACCTCTTGATTATTATAATGTTCTTGCCAATATAAAATCTACAGTTAAACAGAATACCTTCATTAAGCTAAAAGATTCCGCAGCAGATATAATAACCTAAAGGTGGCGATGGGATTACTTGTCACATCTATTTGCTGAAATTTAAAGTGGACTACCCATTTAATATCTAGAATCATATGAAACGTTGTTACATCCAGTTGAAAAGAATCTTGAGGAATCATTACCTTTTCACTACTTGTAATTACCATACATAATCATAGATAATTGATTAGTAGGTGGAGATATCATACTGTTGTTGTTTTTGTAGGCAGTTTATACTGTATTTTCTTCTAGAGACATGCCATAAAGTTGTTTTGGATGGTCCGTGGCCTAAATTGAAAGTTGCCATTTGGATGCTTTAATCCACTTAACAAAACAGAATAGGGCTATTTTGATGAGCGTATGGACCAAAATGTACTTGTCCTGGGCAGAAGTGTTTCAAAAGTGGAGCAAGCACGAGAAATGGAGTCAGATTTTCAGATAGCTGAGGCAGAGAGAGGAAAGTAAGAAGATAGTGGGAAGATCGGGCTGGGTGAGGCATGTCATGTTTGAAATATGTTCTTCACTCCCAAGACCATTGCACTAAGGAAGAAGCCAATACATTGGTGTCACCTAAAGCAAGGTAAGGCAAGGACAGGAAGACTGGAGAAATATGAAGAAAGGTATAGTGGGATATGCTGGACTGGGCCATTGGCATTGGCTGATGACGGAGGGAGCAGAAGAGTCTGGGAAGATGGGGCAGGAAGACCAGTGTGCATGCTTTGGTGAGAAAGGAAAAAGTGGGTGCTGCACATCAAGCCTACCCTAGTTGACACATATAATCATGATAGATCTTCAAGAGCAATGCAAGAATCCTTGGTTTTGTTTTCCGGCTGATCTGCCTCCAATATGAAGTGGTTGACCAGAATTCTAGAACATGATAGTTTGCTCTGCTTTCTGCTAAAACATATTTTTGGTTTTGCGCATCCTGTAGTGCTCACTGGTTTGTAACTCTGCTTTCTTCAGTGAAAGCTGTCGTGGATTTTAAAGATTAATTCAAACTTACTGGATGATCATTAGAGTGATATATTCTATTGAGATAGTGATTTCCCAGTAATGGTTGAGAAATAGTAAATCATGAGAGGATCAGAATTTCCACTTGAAAGGGGAGGAAACCTGGTCTGGGTTAGTCACTATCTCTAAGTCCAGCCAACCACTATAAGAGTTCTTTGTAAGGGACAGAATTGGAGAACGTAGATAAAATTGGAGTGTTCGTGTGTGTGTGTGTGTGTGTCAGAGACAGAAACATACAATTCCTAATGAAAATATGGTCTATCGGTCTAATGGATAAAATAATTAATATATAGCAACTGATCTGCAGTCAATTTGAGTGCTTCTGCTACTCTTCCATAACTTTATATATTTTTATTTTTTTCTCAGACCGTATGTTGATCTGGTGAATATATTGCTCACTTGTGGAGAAGAAGTCAAAGAGGCCATCACCCAGAGTGTCCAGGCCCAGTGTGAGCAGAATTGGGGGAGTCTATGCTCCATCCTGAGCCTCTGTACTGTGGTTCCACATGGAGAGTCTACCCTGGAATCTGAGAAAAAGCCAAATGAAGTCTCAAGAATATCCACTGGCCAAGGAAACCTTGTCATTCACCCTCAGTCTGGTACAAGAGAGAATTCTCAAAATCCTAGAGGGGAAAGAGGTAGCAGGCTGCCTATGAATGCTCACACTCGCACTAAATCTGGGGGTCATAATTCCAAAGCAACTCATGAGGCCTTTGAACAGAGAGATGAACCTTCTGACTTCTCTGATATCCGAAGGTGAAAGGAATAGACAACCCAACCTTTCCCCCTTCACCAAAAACTTCCTCCGTTGAGTTCATTTTATCTAGGGGCATTCCAAACAATATTTACAAGATAAGGGGGCTATGTCAAGCATAGGGCATTGCGGGTTATGGGGCAGCAACAGCATATGTATTATAAGCTACAGAGGAAAAACAATGACTGGGTCACTGATTGTATCCAACAAATTCAATGTGTAGATGCATAAGCATAAGATATGAAAAGCATAAGATATGCAGGTTTGGGTTGGCAATATTATTTTTAAATCAGGGATAGATACAAATTATGATTTCTCCACTAATGGCTTAGACTGTCTAGTTTAGATTAAATTCAATATAACTAAGTGTAACATAATTCAGTCCCTGAACAGAAAGTATAAGGGTGTATATAACATGGGCTGCCATGGCATTTGTAAGAAGACTAATGAGTATGGTAAAGGGGGCCTTCCAATTGCAAACTTAGTTATCCTCTGAGCCTACATTCTGCTCCTTTTTAAGTGACACCATCTGCCTTAAGTTTCCTTGTGCTGGTTTGGGCAGTTTATTCCTCCATCATTCCTTTGAAAATTAGTTAATTGCAGAACCAGCTTCCAGATAAGGCAAATGTGCCTTCTCTGCTAGTTCAGTATTATGCAAAACTCTTTTTAATAGTGTAAATCTAAAAAGCCCCACTCCACTTCTGATTTAAATGGCTTTCATGTTTTTCACATGTTTTTCAGGCTTGATGAAAAACTTCTTAATATGCTATATCAGAAATCAATATCACAAGGGTTGCAGGGTTTTTAAGCTTTAAAGGCCACCGTTATTTAGTAGCTGTTAAAGAAACAGTGTCGGTGAAGTGAGGACAAGCCAAGCAGTACAATGATTTAATCTGGTTAAATATGTGAATTGCACATTTCTCCATACCTCCATCCTCATTGCATTTTCTTGGAAATATAGCTAACTTTGTCAAATTAATGGAACTTATTTCACTGAGTAAGTTTGGATTGCAACTTTCATGGTCCCAATTTAGTGTGTTGTATTTCATTTTGCTTTTAATCATGTCTGTTTATTATTTGAACATATAATTACTCAATATATTTACACATTGAAACTTCAGCCAACACTTTACTGGAAGCAGGTGTTCCTAAAACCTTTTAGAAAAGTGTTAAAACTTTCTGGAAAACAGGACTGTCTAAAATATTTTGGGTGTATTATACCCAATGTTACCAAACTGGTAGAAACTTGGATGTGTTGAGCTTCAAGTCCCATATTGCTGGATGGTGATTATACTATTTCTAAGCCAACTCATTTGAATGATCATAGCTTGGAGAAGGCAATGTTAGCTATTCAGGTATCTTAGAAGGAAAGACTAGACCTTAAGTTACTTGTTCACAAAGAGTTTCATACCTAAGATTTTCCTAGTTAGTACATCTTTGGGTCAGGTGCAGCTGTTTATATGCATAGAATATGGAAAGGTAGTCCTGATGTTGTACTGACTGAATAAGTCATAAATTGCAGAAATAGAGCAGCTTAATTAAAATTATTGTTCCACAACCTAGCATGGACTTCAAATTCCACTATGAAGCTGTGGATGGAAATATGAAGATACCAGGTTTAGGAATCTCAAATGAATCCCATTCCTCTTTGATGAACATAGATAGAAAAAAGTATGAGGACATTGCATTGTAGCTGCAGCTAGGAAACATTATTTGAATTTTTTGGAAGGGAAACAGGTTTTTGTGATTACGATGGTCACAGTCCTAAATCACCCTTTAAAACAATGAAATGTATGAAAAATGATATGTACCCTTTTTGAAAATGAACTGATAGAGGAAGAATTGTGACCACTTCAAAATAAATCATCACACAGAAGTTAAAAAGCCCAAAGATCTATTAGTATGATTCCCAACTTCTAAATTTCAGTCTTTGAGAAGTCTATCTGGGAATCTAAACATGTATGTACCATTGAATGTCAGCAGATCATCTCAGTGTGCATATAATTTATCTTCTGTGATCTAGTGATGTTAATATTTGTTTCACAAATAACGTTAAGAATTTTGGGGGGGAGGGAGATCACAAAAGGCTAATTTTCCTTTTTTCTCTCTGTGAAAATTGGATATATGTGTTCATCTACTGATTCGACATATTCTTTTAATGTAAATATTTAACATTTTTATTTATTATATTTTCTCCATTTAAAAAAATTGAACTGAGCACTGCTGGCTAAGGTGATTTAAATATATGTCAGGACCTGTGTTGTATATATTCATGCCACAAGTACATTTTTGTTATTGTTTAGATCAAGGAAAATATAATTTTATACACTCCATAAAGTTATTGACAGCATCAATCATTTATTTATTATCATCATTCATTTCGAACATATACAAGTACATTTACCCTAATAGTTTTATCAAGACGTGTATAGCTACTTACTTGAAATTTTTAAAATAAAAAAGTTAGCTGTCCACTAAGGGACTTAGTCACACCCTAGCAAACAAAAAAACCTTATTTTTAATTATAGACATAATTCAGAACAAAGCATATCATTTGGGGTATATGCAGTAGTTTTGTTTGGGCAAAGACCCAGAGCATTCAAAACTTAACTTACTTGAAGGGAAGCTTGCTCAGGGTTGCTTTGGCATAATTAAGCAAGTGCTTAGTGCTTGCTTAGTTCTATGAGAAAAATCCTACCCTGATTCTAAAGAAATTTTTCTTTATTATGACATCTTCCCCATAATTCTAATAGTAAGAATGAGTTCCCATGGTGGGAAAACACCAAAATCTATCGCTCATTCTTTTCTACAAAATGTTATAAAAAGTAGCAGAAGATACATCACATTCCACTGAGTTTTTAAACACAGGTTTGTGTGGAAGAGCAGAGTCAGATCTGAGACCACTAAAAATAAGGTTGTTTAGTGAGCCTGCTTAAAAGCAATAAATGGAGGTCTGGTTGACCAAACCAAAAATGTTGGATCCCTATGTTAAAATTAGAAAGAATGAAACAAAACCTGTTTTATTTAAACTGATTAAGAAAGTTTTCAAAACAAAACTCAAAAGCCACTCTCAAGGTTTCCCCCCCCCCCAACCTTTCAAGGAAGTTTTTGAAATATTTCTAGAAAGTGGACTACTTGAAGCTTCCCATTGCATTCTATGATTGGAGCATAGAATTGCCACCATTTGAAACAACCGAATTTATACCAAAATCCAAATAAAACTTTTTTTGTCCAATTTCAAAACAATGTAAGTTTGAATTTGGAATATTTGAAACTTTTTATTTCAAAATGTTCCAGAACTGATGTAAGTGCTGCAGCAAAAATACATGTCTGGCATAATTTCCCATACCTTGGAAAGCTGAGAAAATCCAAAGAACAGTTGATCTTGAAAGGATAATTTCAACACCTTCACTAAGCCGAAATAGGATAATTTCAAGTAAAATAATAATCAGGCTATCTGGCCATTGGGTTTTAACCCAGAAAACAGTCATTTAAGAAAAAATCAGTTTGGAAATGATTTCTAGCCTTATTGATGTAAAATAATATTGAATGTTTTGGTTTTAATGCAGAATGTCATATCCCTCAGTTTCCTTGAATATTTTTTATCTTACATAGACTATGATCAAGCAAACTTGTAATTTCATCTGGATTTAGGTAAGATGTTTTTCTTTCCACCACTCAACTTTCATTAATAAATTAAATGGTTACAGATCAGTGTATTAGAAACAGGGTTCCATGAAAATTTTGTAAATCAGTAGCATATGTTAAAAGAAATTAGAAATCAGATAATGAGGAAAGGGCTAGTATGTAAGTATAAATATGGGGAGGGAAATGTGTACATCCTGAAGGATGTTGATACTTCTTTCTGAATTTGGCAGCATTAGCAAATCAAATAAATCCTGCCTGTACTTTTCCACAAAAGTTTGTTAACAAATATTTTTTTTAGAAGAAAGCAGGTAAGCATTTGAAAAACTTGTGTTTTTGGTGGGATAGGGAGTCTATTAGATGTGGGAAAGGACAACTGAATAAAAGCACTATTGAGAAAGGTGTTTCACTCACAATGTTAGGATGAAAAGTTGATTAGTCCAAGGTGTAAACTATGATCAAGCACCAAGTTGGTCCTAGTTGAAAAAGCTACAAATCTAAATTGGTTCAAAACAAATGCAGAATTTGGCTGCAGAAATTCAGAATACCACTAGGTAGCAGCAGTGGGAGACAGATCCAATCATTTGTTGCCATCGTGTGGTCATCCAGATTTTTTTATTCTAGATATACAATAGTAACGTTGGGTACTAGAAGAAAGACAGTGGATAGTTCTAAGAAGAAATTGTGGAAGATAATGACTATTCATAATTATTCCCTTAAGGATAAGGCAGCATGAGAAGATTCGTATTCCTGTCCTACTTGGGAATCTTCTCAGATCCAGAAAGGTTCTTTTTTCATTATTAAATAGACCCACAGAATTAGAGTCCTCAATTAAAAGCTGACTAACTCTAAAGAAATCTATAGAATATCAATTCCTATGCCTACAACTCTAAATGAAGACCTCAAACTAAAACCTGCTTAAGTTTGTACAAATAGAGTTTAAACTCATCCTGTTTTCAGGTTTCCTCCCTTCATCAGAATGAAAATCTTACTCATTTCTTTCACATCCATCAAAAATAGCTGCGCAAAATCATGAACAATGTAATTTTGACAAGACTATCACATTTCAAGGCATTTGAAATTTAAACGAGAAATCTCATGGCAAGCTAGAAGTGCCAAATATAAACCTTAAATTTAGAGCTTTCACTTTAGTTTTCAAACTTGTCTGGGTGTGACTTTATGTCACAAAGGTATCACATGTATCACAGGGCACTTCCAAGATAATGGCTCAATAAGATCATGTTCCAAGCATTAATTTTTTTAAAAAAAAAAAGGGAAGGGGAAAAATGAAGAAAAAATAACCAACAATTTTGGGGGGGGAAGTTTGGTTGAATTTCCTAGGTAACTTATTTTAATAATGAGCTCTTTAAGAATTAAGATTGAAAGTTGTAGGATTTAGGTTGTTTGGTTTTGATCTTGATTATAATTTTGTGATTTCATTGAAATCTTGCCTTGGGATTAAGAAACAAGATAAATTCTCTCCACCCACACACTCAGAATCTGAATTTTTATTAAATCAACAATTAGCACAAGCAAATTACTTGTATTTCCTAAGAACGAGCCAGGAGAGAAATTTTGAGCATGGCTTCAGCAAGACTTAACAGTTGCCCAAAATGCATGTTTTGGGCCCTTTTCTATATAATTCAAAAGGTAATCCCATTTATACCCTCAGAAGAGGTATGATTTTGCAAACCTAAACTTGATTTCCAGGAATCTGTCTTGCAATTTCCTTTTTATAAATATGCTTGTCCTCCAGAGTTTTTCATAATCCTAATTCAGATTAGCCACTGTTCCCTTATCAGTTATGTAGGAAAGTGATTTCTTATCCAAATAAGATGACCTACATGCTATGCATAGTAATTAAAACTTGGCAGGAGTTGTTGTTTTGCAAGCACTGGTTTGGCGTTACAGGGCCAAACTATTTTTTAAAAGACGCTGGGAGTGGCTCATTATTTTGCATCTCGTCTCTATTTTCCTCATTTTTTTATGAGGAAATTAAAAACTTAAACAATCCTGCGTGATGTCACCACATTGTATGCCTCCTGATCCCTACTTAACATAGTTTGCGGTGGAGTGGGGGCAGGACAAAAACATTGTCTAAGGATAGCATGCCACACCTTGTTATAAGGAAGAGAAGGGAAAGAGGTTCAGAGCAACAGCCGTTCTAACACTCATTTTGACCTTTGGCCAAATGCCAGGCCATAGAAATCCTGCCAGTTTTCTATTGTTGCTGCTAAGGAAAGTTGTTACTGTGTGCATTCTACCTTAGAAATAGTTGGACCCTCTATTTGTTGAAGGAGTCTAGTTTGCAAAACAATGAGACACGTGAACATGCAAAAATATCAGCCTAATTGATTACACAATTTCCTTCAGTTGTGCTCCAATAAATCTAGTCTATTGGCTTCTACACAGAATTAATTTAAAGTGATGGTCTTTATTTATCTTGTAAGATTCCCAGAAGCTTCCCATGTGGCCTGTCATAAGTGATTGTGATAGCACTATCATGCCCTGCAATTTCCTTTCTCTCCTCCCTCCCCTTCCACTGCAATCTCATCTGTTCTGGAAAGAAGGTATATCCTCTACTCTCTGGCACAATATTGCTGTAGGTGTAATTGTAATGTACCCCAGGAATAATCTTTGGATAGCCTTTTCTTAGCACATTCAAGAAGCAAGCATGGGGGGAGGAGGGAGATTCAGACCTGATGAAGAAGATCCAAAAGGGCACTCCCAACACTTTTGAGCACCCATGTCAAACTACTAAGGGAGCTTTTAAAGACTGACTGCTTGTGAGCCCAGATAGACCTGTTAATGAAAACCAAACAAGCCTATGTTTGACTTGGGTCATTTCCTCACTAATGATTTACAGTGTTTTTATAACGTCACCCAACTATTGTTGAATCAATATAAAGCCTATTCTTGCTACTCAGATTCTGGCACAACAGCACTTTAAAGTCACAAGTAGGGAAATGACCTCATTTATGTGAACCCAAACAAGCATGGTCTATTCCATAAACAAAGCATTTTTGGAGAACACAAATATTGTCACTGTGTCCAAACAAAAACTTTTATGCAATACTTTTAACTCCAGACCTAAACAAATGACACTGCCTTTAAATGAGTGGTTATATTTCTCCTTCAAATCATATTAATATGGCAAGATAAAGATGTCCATATTCCTTGCATACTTGAAGTTACAATGCCCTCCGTGTGTTCCATTCAGGTATCTTTTCTCACACTCTTTCAATACACACTTTCCCACTACTATGAAAGTAGTCTTTTTATCACATCTCTGAAACGGCAAGGAAGGAAGGTGTATAAGTAAACCCTGAGTCGTTTATTATTGTCTACCATCTGGATGAAAACAAAATATAAGACTTCATGTAGTAAAATATTTGCATCTTGAAATGCATGTATTGGGAAAGTAGCAAATTACTCATGCAGTCACAAATACTTGCATAGGTTGAGAAAAGGATGATATCAATGAATTAATCTGCTGTTTTCATATTTTAAAACCCATTTTGGACATGTTGACTATTTACTTCATTCACAGATTTCACTCGGCAGCCTCTCTGCCAATGATGTGTTTGATGTTGATACTTTAGGTACTACATTAGGATAACAAAATGAAAAATCCAACTTAAATTTGGAGTAGGAACAGCACCTCTGAATATTTTGATTAATCCATAGGTCCATAACTATAGACTGCTCTAATCAGACTAGTCAAGTTAGGATGGTCCAATGTGAAAGTAGCAGGAATTAATTATAAACGCCTTTCACACTAAGTTATATAATCTAATGAACCAACAGAAGCATATAAAACCGATTCTCTATACAATGCAGGTAACTTTGTGCTTTTTTAATGGTTCGCTTACTTTATGCTTATTCTGCTAGAAGATACTTTCTGGAATTTATAGTTTTCAAACAAGGTCTTAAGTACAGATAAACATACAAATGGTTTCTTGTATAGACAAAATGAAAAAAGAAAAGGGGTATTTAAAAACAAAAGCATGTATCATAATACAAACATTAGAGAAGGAAAAGATATAAAGATTAAAAAGAATGCATATGGTTTCATGTCTATTTTATATTTGCATCATACTTGATGCATGATATTTGCATATTATAGGTAGAATGAATAAGGTAGGTGGAATGAATTTGCTAATTTGCTGATATAGAGAAATAATGTGTTGAAAGAATTAACCTTTTGGGGGGGGGTCTGAATCTCATTTGATTACTTGTATTCTGTGGTATTAGTGTTTTGATCTGGTCTCCATTTAAAGAAATGTCCCATTTCCATCATGCAAGCAACTAATTCTAGGAAGTGGGACACTTCAGGAAAAGTGTATACTCACACAGAATATTAACAAGAACTCATAATAATCTGCCCAGCAGACAAGTATGCCATTTACCCTGATCTGCCTAAACCAAGGTACTTCTACTTTAGCTACTACAATAGTAAAGAGACAAGATTAGTGTGAACAGGATATATACCATCATCCTCACTCCATCTAACCCCCACCCTCGCAAGATTGATGTGGGGAAATATTTACATTGTTAAAAAGAGCTGTACATTTTAAAATATAAATGCAAATAGTTTTAGTAACCTTATATGAGCCTAATGGTGAGGGCTGGACACTGTTCCCCAAAGGAACAATAAACAAGCAACCGATTCAGCGTCATATCTAGGCTGGCATGGTGTCATGGCTCCGTTGGATCCCGGTTCAGAGGAGGAGGAAGATGGGGGAGGATACAATCCTCTCCAAACAAGTTGAGAGTCCAGGCGCTAGGGACAAGGCAGTCCCAGGGCCATCTGGCAATGGCGGGAAGGTGGTGGCCAACCTGATGGAGAGCCATTTGCAGGAGTGGTGCAGCTGCAGAGTGCCAGCAGAGATGACAAACTCCACACCATCTCTGATGAGGAACAGCTCCCTCCCCTCCAATCTGCGAATGTGAAGAGCAGAGCGAAAAGAGGCACAGAGGAGATCAGCGAGGTTGCTTGTGAGGAAGCAGCCCCTCCGTCCTCACAAGGAGCAGCTGGGAAGGGTGATTTAACAAGGCGCTGGGGGGGAAATCTGTTTATTGGGAACTCCTGCTTGTTTTGATGTGCTTCTTCCCTGGATCCTGTTGTTTGAATTTTGGACTGTGATTTGGATTCTGAATCTTAAGACTCTTGTGGACCTGGACTTGGCTCTAAGACTTCACACTCCTGCATTGTGTTTTGGTCACTGGAACTCTGGACTTGTTAGTATTGTTACCTCCCTCTTGCCTCCTAGGTCAGCTGGTACTTAGTTTGTGAATCCAGACTGAGGGAAAACAGGGCTGGGGCAGAGCTTCACCGGCACCATTGGGGTTGTTTGTAACTGCCATAAATAAGCAATAAACAGACCCTCTTTAACGTCTGTCTTGCCAGCATGACTTGGGTCAGAACACATGGGCATTCAGGAGCCTTCTAGAGACAACTGTCCACCACAGCATTTCTTTATTTTGCAACCTCTTCTAAAGTCCAAAAAGCTGATTGAACAAGCACATAGTTACACATAGTCTTGCTATACATTAAATTGCTATACAGTAATTATAATCCAGAAGGCATTGTGCTTATTCCATAATGGAATGTAGTTGTCTAAAGCTCCCACCATAAAGCCACGGAGTCCAAGTTTTAAAATTGCCAAATGGTACACACATCCCCCATCTTTATGCCCTTTCACTCTAGACAAAGCCTGCCATTTTGTTTGCCAGCTGGAGGATACAAGTTGCTCAGCGATCACACAATCCAGACTCCTTGCATCTCCTTAGTACCATCAGCAGTTAAATCTAGGGAGCCAAGAGATTTGCCCCAGGCTGGAAAATGTAACATTTCGGTCTTTGCTGTGCATTTTCTCCCTGTGTAAAAATCCCTGTGTTAGCATAAGAGATGGTGCTTAAATCCAAACCTCATGACCAGGAATTGAAAACCATGACTCAGGAATTTAAAGATGAAGCTTTCTGGGGAAGCCACAAGGGACTGGAATTCCTACCTCCATCAAAGCCTTAGAGCTATAGCCCTGAATTATAATATTTTCTACAAATGCCAAGGACTCTTACCAAAGAAATTGTGGCTTGGAACTCAAGAGAAAATTCAATTAAAAACAGCCTGTCTTCTTTGCAAAATGCCATTTCATATTTTTTTTCAATACAAAAGGGGACAGTGCCTAGAGCAGTGTTGGTAAACCTTTTGGGCACCAAGTGCAAAAAAGGGGGGGCATGCACGTGGGGGAGTGCCGGAAACCGGAAGAGCAGCTCTCTGGCACACGTTTGCAGGAGCACCGGAAACTGGAAGAGCAGCTCCCCTGCTTGTGCATGCACATACTGGGAAGCTGAGGTTCTGGTTTCCGGCATGCGCATACACGCTGGCCACCTGGTCTTCCAGTTTCTGGCATGCGGGTGCATGTGAAGATCAGTTGGCATGTTGGAAACTGGAAGCTCAGCTTCCTGGCACACATGCGTACCAGGGAGCTGCTCTTCCGGTTTCCAGTACTTCCACGTGCGAAGACCAGCTGGCTGGCACCCATGCTTGGAAAAGCAATGGGCAACGGCTGGCATGCCTGGAGAGATGGCTCTGCATGCCACTTCCAGCACGCATGCCATAGGTTCACCGTAATGGGCCTAGAGCATCTCAGGTTGGGGAGCTTCAACTTCTTTGTACACTGGAAAATGGGGATTTTCATCTACTCGGATGGGTAATAATTGGACATTCTAATACCATGAGTTACCCTGCCACTTCAGCTCTTCCAGCAAAACTTCAGGGCAATTTTTGAGACCCTTGCAGTCCAAAGAGCCAGGACCGTTTCCTGTTGGTGACCAAAGACTAGCTCTCCATGACTCTATTCTCTCCTGCAGTTTTTCCTGAGCAGCAAAGTTTTCTCCTGTGTATACTGATGTTGCAACCTGCCTCTGCCAACTAGAAATCACAGTACATTCCTAGTTATAGGAATTATTTCAGAATATTTGGTGAGCATCAAATTCAGCATCAGAGTTGCAGCCTCTTTTCAGGCCTTTACAGAAAATGGCTCCCAACAACAATATTTCCCATCAAACAGTACTACTACAAAACTTCCTTCATTGGCTATCACATCTTTAGTGAAGTATTTTATCATGGCCAGCCTTCACAAGTGAGTACTGAATGCCCTGAATAGATCGAACCAGGTTAAAAAAGTGATCACATGATCCCAGGACACTGCAACCATCATAAATACAAGCCAGCTACTAAACATCTGGATTTTGATCACATGACCATGGGGATGCTGTAATGATTTTAAGTGTGAAAAATGATCCTAAGTTACATTTTTTTTCAGTGAAGTTGTAACTTTGAACTGTTGTAAGTTGAGAACTACCTATGCAACCATTTCCTTGTCATAGCCTCTCATCAGTCAG